GCCTGCAGTGAGGTTGGAATCTACTCATTAACTCCCGACAAACACCAGGCTATTCAAAGCCCACATTTGCCTTTATAAACTGTATCTTCCGGGTTACCATTTAATCCAGAGTGCACTGCAAAGGGGTTGCTTCTCCCCAGGGAAAACACAGAGCTCAGCAGAGAGGGCCAACCTTGCGGGGCTGAGCAGGGAGAGTCTGGCAGGGTGGGGATAGAGACTGTCAGGGAGGCAGGCCAGGCTGTGACAGAAATAATCTCAGGCAGCCCCAGGCCCCAGGCCCCAGGTCCTGAGGACCGTGAAGTATTGGAGCTGGAAAGGCCCTCTGAGGGCCAACCACCCTGGCCCTCCAACCCCATTTTAAAGATGAAGTCTAGCAAAATCAAGACCTGAAAGAAAGTATAATAATACCAAAAAAGAAGGAAGAAATTGATTTTCCTTTAAAGGATGGTCCTTTGCTTCAGAAAAACTCACTCTACAAATTCTATTTTTCTCTGTCAGACCAGTGACATCATCGCGATGGGCCATGGTCATTCTGAAGACAGATTTGGAAACTACGATCCCGAAGCCCTGCTGGCTACACTCCTTTCTCTCCTAAACCAGATTTGCAAAGCAGAAAAAGAGAACATAATTTAGATCCAATGAGATTTTTAAATGACCTCAGGATCTCCATAAACAGTCACTGTGGCCATCAAGGCAGCAGGATCACAGTCGCTCACTGTGGGGTGCTGGCTCTTCTCATGTCCTTGACACGAGGATTCTGGGATTATTGATTCTGGGAAGACAGTGAGTGTGCTGGGCTCTACCCTGGTGAAGGGCTGTTTTTTATGTCCCCTGACTCAAGGGTCCTTAGAGAGTGGGGGTGAAGGTGGGAAGGGGGCCCATCGGTAGGTGTGAAAAAGGAATGAGATGCTCATTTAGTACCTGGCACAGAGGATGCACTCAATAAATACTTATGGTGTGTGGTATAGTTTATGGCAGATCTAGAGCCAGCCAGAAAGTCTGATTTCTGGTTCTACTGCTAACTCTGTGCTTTAATCACTCTAAACTTCAAGGACACGAGTGCCTGTACCAAGCAGAAGTCTTCTTTATAAATATCAGAAGCCATACTCCCACTAGTTTAAACCAAAAAAGAAATTTCTAGCTCACACAGCTGGGACGGGCATGACAGCAAAAGCCAGGACCTTAGGGCAGGACCCAATGCCTCCAAGACTATTTTTCTCATCTTTGCCTGACTTCTGCAGACAGGCTCCATCTATGTGGCAGGGAAGATGGCCATTTGCAGTTCAAATTCAGGTTTGAAACTGGGACTTCTCTCTCTCTCAACAATAGATCCATCTCAGAGGAGACTTTGATTGGCCTTGCTTTGGTCCTAGCCAGACCTCAATCACACGTCTGGTCCCATGGTGGGGGAAGTGGGTGGTGGTACCAGTAGGAGGGGAATGGGAAAGCCAGGTGGGCAAACAACAATCACAGTACCTATAATACCTAAAGGTCACAGGTGTATGTGTGTTTGTTGGGGAAGTCCAAGTCACCAGAAGCCCCTGAACGTGGTGCACGCAGATGGGATCACAACCAGGCTGGGTCTATTCACGGTTAGGATTATTATCAGGTACAAATCATTTGGCTTCACTATATGTCAGGCTCTGTGTTAGGCTAAGTATAATTCAAACATATATATCATTTCTCATTCTTATAAACACCCTAAGAAGTAGGTATTATCAGCCTCATTTTAAAAGTGAAGAGACAGAGGTTAAGTTCATGCAGGCAGCGAGTAATCGAGCCAAATTCAAACTTGGGTCCCTTGGACTCCAGAGTGCAGGTGTTTCCCAAGGTCAGGCCTCTTTAGAAACCAAAGCTGAAAGCTCGCTAGATGGTTGCATCAAGCCCTGAGAGCACACTCTGACCACAGCAGATGTGGTCTTACCAGAGTCCAAAGCCGTAACCATGGCTTTCATGCCCTTCCCATTACACACTTCCTCAGCTCCCTGAGTCCTACAGGCCCTTCCTAGACAACAGAGACAGGCAATCACTCTCAGTAACATATGGGCTTCTTCACCAAATGGCATTTCTCTAAGACTTGATCCCCCAGTTGATGACCCTACCTGGAACTTTCTAGAATCTTGCCTCCTTGGTGAGAGGAAATGGGAATGGGGTGTTTGGAGGGATCCTGGCATGGTAAATAAAATAAAATAAAATAAAATAAAATAAAAAACAATGGGTTCATCTCTCACCTGAATTAGAAATATCTGCAGCCCCTAACTGGTCTCCCTGCCTCTAGCTGCCCTCAGCCTATTCAGCACTGCACAGCTAGAGTAATCCTCCTAAAATACCATTCCTCCTGCAGCCACCCCTGCTCAGATCCTCAAAAGCCCTCCTTTTCCCATGCTCATTATGGTGGCCTCCTGGGCTCCTCCAGACCAACCCACCCCCCACAACTTCTCCAGCTTTCTCTCTCACCACTGCCCCTCACACTTGGTAAGGCAAGAGACTTGAAATAATAGGATCGCAGGAACTATATATGGTTATTTTAATTAACTAAAATAAATTATTATTAAAAATTCAGTTCCTCAGTCACACTAGTCACATTTCAAGTGCTTGATAACCTCTTGTGGCTAGTGGCTACTGTACTGGGCAATGTGGGTATAGAATGTTCCTATCGTCAGAGAAACTTCTATAGGACAGCACTGGCTTGGACTTATCTCTTACAAAAGAAGCCCTGATCAAGGAATTACCAGCCTATCCAGGGTGGACTTGACTCATTCGATAACTCAACAAATACTTGGCACCCACTATATTCCAGGCTCTGGGCAGTAGGAACAGTTGGTCCTTCCTGGGAGTGAAAGTCCATTGCTAAGGGGTGTCTTAAGTGCCTGAACCCAGGCTGGGGAAGCTTCCTGGAAAAGGGGACAGCTGAACTGCAGGCTGAGTCCCTCTCCAGATCATGCTCTTTTTGGCATTCACGGTCCCTTATTACAGGTTCTCCCCTACTGCCCCAACTGCTTTCTCTTTTTTTTCCCAGGGAGGGAAGGAATAGAGGCTATTTCCTTGAAGTTAGTCCCCCAGATGGGACAAAGCCAACAGTCCTTGTGCGGGCCTCTCCACCCAGGTCAGGCTGGGAAAAGTGTAGAGAAAGGCCACTCCCATCCAAGGGCCTGAGGGAGCTAGAGCTGGCTAACAGAGCTGAGGGAGGCTATCTTGGGGTCTCCTCCTATCGCCCACCCCGTCTCTGCTACAGTCCCTCGCTGCTAATTCCCTCCACAAATACACACACACAGCAAGGCCAACCCTCATTCAACCCTGTGCCAGCTGCCCCATCCTGCTCCCCTTCCTGCTCCCTTCCCTTTCAAGCCCTGCCGTGACTTGAAAGTGGCAGTTCATTGACCCCAATGCATACTTATTATTTGGAAGAAAAGAGCTGGAGTACAACGCGTCAGGCCCTGAACAGCCCGGCCGCTTGAGGCGTAAAGCCTCACTTAAGGCTCCTGACTCTCGGAAAACTGCGTAGGAACGATCATCTTCATCTTGTAATAGAAATCAAGATTCAGGGAGGGTAATTTGCCAGAGCAGCAGCAGCGAAGGAAGCAACCTTCAACCCCTAGACCGGAGATCAACCCCCGACCCCCTGCCTCGCACTTGTATTCCGCAGGGTCCTCGTGTGTTTTCCTCCCCGTCTCCCTGGGGCTCCCGTCTCCCTGGGGCTCCCGCGCTCCCGGCCTGGGTGTGACCCGCTACCTCCGCCAGGCCAGAGCACGGACTCCTGAAGGAGGCAGGGCCAGGGGCCGGCGCGAGTAGGGGGTGTGAGCCCTCGGTGCCAGCCAGAGCCCTAGGCGGCCGCAGAGCAGCCCTTTGTTTCTGCGGAGTCACGGTCACATGGCGCTTCCGGCGCCGGATGTTCTGGGCGCCGTGCCGGCCTGGACGCCCCGCCCCCGGCCCCGCCCCGCCTCGGGTTTGGGCCCCGGGGCCCTGAGCCCTGTCACCCGCTGGGCCTCGCGGGCGGTGCCCTGCAGGCGTCGCGCCCCGACCGATTTTCATCCTCTGGAGCGCCCACGCTGAGTTTTCCTTCCAGCTCTGGTGCGCCCAGTATCCACTAGTTTCCTGGGACCCGCCTGTCTCCCCTGCTCTAGACCACACCAAGTGAGCAAAGTCAGGCGCCTCCCTCCCGAGGGGGTCGGGGGTGGGGGGGACACTGTGCGGTAAACAGGTCGTGGACAAGTACTTAAATCCATTCTCATCAGTAACGGATGGCAGAGACAGTACTGACCTTCCCTCTTTCCCCGCCCCCATCCCAACAAAGCAAAACGAAAACCAGCGACCCTGGGGCTGGCCTCCCTCCTCCTCAGCACAGACCACCTAAGGGCAAAAGCCCCAGTCACTGGCGGAAATGGCGCTGGCCCTTTCTACCCTGGCCTGGCCACTAGGGCTCTTATCACCCTCAGGCTTAGTCTGTGCCCTGGGACACTTGAGAACCTTGGAGCCTCACAGTTAACACCTATGCTTCACTCAGCAAATTCAAGAATTTATTCAACAAATATTTATTGAAAGCAAACTACCTGCTGGGTAGCCAAGTCTCTCCCAAATGCCAGCTCTGTGTTCACCCCCTAGAGAATGTGAGAAGATTCTCTTTGTGACCCAGCAGAGCCCATGCTGTCCCTGAGAGGCTCAGCTTCCTGGAGGAGGCCTTCATCCAGAGCAGCCTGGGAGGCCCTAGTAACAGTGGACACAGCCATTCCTGGGGCTGGGAGTGGGGGGCCCTCGCTTCCCAGCCTTGGAGATACCGCAGGGAGTGTAGGGCCAGGTTCTAGGTGAGCATGGGATGGGGTCTTGGGGACCCTTTCTGTCTCTGGGCAACCGTTTCTCATCTAGGCCTGCAGGGACTTGGGCAAGGGATGGGGAGGGTTTGGAGGGGTGGAGTCCTGGGAGAGGAAATGAGACAGTCCAAGGTGGATGGGGCAAGAAGCAACTGATGGGGCCAGAGGTGGGTGTGGAAATCCACCGGGGTGTCAAGGCTTGGTGGGGAAGAGCAGGCAGGTTAGTTGCCGGCTGCCATTGTGTCTGTCCACAAGAGTCAAGGGTTGCTGCATGTAGTGCTGGACCATGGCAGCCACGGAAGAGAAACGCTGGGCAGAGAGGCAGGACATCTATGAGTCCCTGGAGCCTCATGCGGAGAGAAACTTCCTAAGGGAACTGCAGGCATCTGATGAGGGGCTCGTTGCTATTTTTGTAAATATTTTCCTTCCTGTTTGTCCCATGAGGCTCCATTGCCATTTTGCTCCCCAATTCCAGGCCTTGTGCACCTTTCCTGCCATTCCACCCGTGGGCATGTTGTTGGCCAGACTCATCTTTCCAAGGCCAGATGGAAAAAACTCTGGGGATGTGCCTCTGCCCCTGTCCTCCAGTATGGGTGACCGTCTCTGGTCTGCAGCCCAGCATGTGCTGGGAGCATGTTGAGTCCTGGCACAGACAGGAGTCTGGACTATTGGGGCCCTGCCCTCCTTTCACTGGTTCATTACACGTACACCTGGGTGCTGTGAGGAATGAGCCAGGCAGGAGGAAGTGCCTCTCCCAGAGAAAGGTAGACCTCTGGGAAGGGACTCAGGTCTCTGTCCGCTATCATTTCCACCCACTCCAGAAGACTATGGAATGTGGGATTTTCCCTATGTAATTTTAGTATATGTGCTGTCAAAGCAAGCACAGTTTTTCCCTCGGCAAATACTCCTGGCTGGGCCCAGGGTACTTCTCCGCTGTCTTTGTTACCCTTAGTCCCCTACCTCCTCCAGCACCCACCTCCTCGTGGTTCCTGCCCTCCCGGCCTAGGGCATAGAGGCGCCCACCATCCAGCTGGCGGATGGGAATGTTGAAGACCCAGCCGTGGAGAAGCACTGCCAGGGTGAAGGGCTGGGAGCCGCGAGGTCCTGAGCTGGGGCGCACGGTGTAGGCCCCATCCTGTAGTGGAGACCCATCCATCAGCCTCATCTTCAAATTGTCCTCCCACAGCCCTGACCCTCGATAGCCAGATGCTCCCCGCCCCTTGCCCTGCTACCCCTGCCTGCTCAGCCAGCCACAGCCCATGAGCAGAAGGGTTTCTAAGAAGACCTAGAGGCTCTGTGGTTGCCCACCTTTTGGCATCCAAGCAGGGCACTCTCAACAGCATGACGGTCACAGTTCTCTGAGTACCACGGCTGACCTAGCAGGCTGCTGTCCTGTATGTACACACACACACACACAGGTGCTTAGAGATGTGTGTGCTGGGGCACTGGGTAGGGGGTGGGGAACAGAGAACCCAGGGTAAGGTTATTGGTGTTCACAGTTGCCTTCCCCAGACTGAATCTGTACAAGCAGAACAAAGAAGTGTCTGTGACTGGTGCCCAGCACGGTGCCACACACATTTTATGCATACTCCTTGCAATGGTGGACACCAGCCCAAGAGGCTTCCCCACAGGCCTCCAGCCCTCTCTCGGCCCTTCCTTACCTCAGCAGCTGAGTTGCTCCCAATGGGGGCTACAGAGGAAAGAGAGGCTCTCCCTCCTGCTGGAAGAAGCAGATTATAGAGCTGGGCATGGGAAGGGAATACACAAGGAGGACTGGGGCCCAGCTGCAGGGGTGGGAGAAGTTGGGGGCGGTGCGTGCACAGGCCATACATTGAAAGCAGAGCACCTGGTGCTTCACCCCTCCTCTCTTGGTCTTGGGCTCTGCTAGGACCCACCAGCTAGGCCACACGTGACCTCCAAATGAGGGGTGATTGTGAGGTATAACCTAGGAGCTTCCCACTTCAGTGCAGACCCTGGAAAATGCCCAAGAGGGTCCCCTCAGGCCTGCTCTCAACTGGAGGCATAACTACAGGCACCCCTTCAGCAAAGTAGGGCATGAGAGGTTGGGAGGGAGTCTGTGGCCTGCAGGGCTGTGGCTGGGGTGGACCCTGGTAAGACTGCCCTGGTTCGTGCTGAAGATGCCTGTACTCACCTTTAGAGGTGACATTCGCTGCTCCCTGGGACACAGGAGGTCTGGTCAGAAGAGACTAGGCCTGCTTCCCTGGGCCCGAAGCCACACCCTGAGCCTCCTTCCCTCCCACCCAGCTCACTTTCCCCCTCACCACCAGCCTCTTACATTCCGAGGTTCCTGGGGGGCTGTGGTGGGCCTGTGGGGAACAAATTGGGGAATGGCTCAGGGTCTAATTCCCTCAAAAGAAAGGCCCAGTGAACCCAGAGGTCCCAGGGGCTGGGTAAGCCTGAGTGCACACATCTCTCTCTTTCTCTCTTACACACACACACACACACACACACACACACACACACCCATGTGGGGGGTAGGGCACTCACCTGGGCACTGCTGATGTCCTTGGCAGAGGGACTGGGGGCATCAGGACATGGGAGTTCAGAGTCTGAGGCAAGGCAGGGACTGAAACAGGGGCAGGCTGGGCTGGGCAGGGAAGCAGGCAAGGACACCCACACAGGCCAGGGAGTGGCCAAGGACAGCAGCAGAGCTTGCTGCTTCTCTGCAGCCTGGGCTTTCTGGGAGTCCTTCCAACCAGGCCGCAACAGCTGGGAAGCCCCACACAGCCCTTGTTCTAAGAGGTCCCCTCCTTCATTGGCACAGTGGGGGTCAATGGACCAAAGGTAGAAGTGTGCGTTTGAAGGCAAATGTGTGTGGGTGGAGGTGGTGAGAGAAGACACGGTGCGAAGATGGAGCCAGGAGAGTGGGTCATGCCGAAGGCCTTGGGATGGGATGGATCTGGGGCAGAGGGAGATGTTCACCTGGACTGGGCTCACACTCCAGGTAGATGTCCTCATCAGGTTTCTTTGGAGAACTTGGTACCTAAGGTAGGGAGGGTGTGTAGGACCAAGGGTTTGACAAGTGAGTGAGAGGGAGGGGAGAGCCATCACTGAGGGCTGTTGACACCTCACACCTCCTCACAAGGTGGACCTCTTCTGGGAGCCAGCTGGAGGGTTAAAATTGCTCCGTTGCTGAGAAGGGGGCACCCCAAGAACACCTTCCCCTTCAGAGGTGCCCACAGGCCCCAGCTCTCAGAGAACATGGGTGTCCAGCAGGAGCTCTGGGCAAGGCCCTTCTCAGTAGCCCTGGGTGGCACCCTAAGGACAACTGAGTTTACCCTGCCTGGGACCTGTGACAGACAAGGAGGGACTCGGCTCTGGGCCTTTTTTCTCAGTTTCCGGGACATTTCCTGGCCCTCCCAAGCCCCCCACCCCAACCCTGCCAACTTCCTAGTCAGAACCATAGAGTGTGAGGGGGGATTGTGAGGCTGCTCACCACTTGGGCTGGTGCAGTCAGCTCTGAAGGAAAAGGAGAGGCCCACCAGACATGAGCACAGGGAGAAAGGAACTGAGTGAAACTTAGGCTGGAAGAGTGAAGTTCCCTCCTTGGAACTTATCTGAGAGTATCCTTGGAGCAGCTCTGAGGCCCTGGTAGAAAGCCGCTTTCAATGGTGTTGCCTTACCTCACAACCCCAGGGTGTTACCTGACTTGACCTCCCGACTGATTTGCTAGGCTTGGCTCCAAATGACTTTGGGCTGTTCCAAAACTACCCTCAAGGTCATGAAGGTTTACCAACCACTGAGCATGTAAAAATAAATGTGTCTCCAGTTAGCTGTCTGACTTTGGGCAGGAGGAGGCTGCTGCTCCTGGGGCCACTTTCAGACAAAAACAAGCTGGCTGGGGTTCCTCCCTGGTCTGACATCCAGGGTTCTGGGGTCACAGGCCTTCAGGCACTTACCATGGGGGACAGTCTCTGGAAAGTGGTGGCAGTAATGACATGGAAGAAATCAGAGACTAGTGGCCAAAGGGGCTCCTTTAATGGAGGATAACACCCAGATGTGTCTCATTGGTGAGGGCCTTCTGGGCAAAGCACGCTAACCTCAGACCTCTTCCCCTGACCCAGAGACCACGGTGAACTCTGCTTTGGTGTGATTTCAGGCAAAGCATTTCATGTCTGGGGCCTCGCCCTCCTCCTCAACTGCCTGCCTTAGTGGGGGGTCCACAGGTAAAACTGAGGAACAGCTAGGGGAGTACAGTAACCAGGCTTGGCAGGGAGCTGATGTAAGGCAGCTCAGCTGTACCCTGTGGGACCAGATCCCGCTTCTCAGGGCAGGGAAGTGGGAGGGCCCTGGACAGAGAAGATGTCCCCATTACCTCGCCTCCCAGAGGGCCGGCTCTGCTTCACGGCCCCCTGCAAGCTAAGTGCTGCCTTCAGCTGTGGGCACAAGGGGTGGTGAGGAAGAACTGGGTAGGGTCAGGGTATGGAAGGGAAACTGAGTCATTGGGAGGGCAAGGATGGTAGGGCAATGTATATCTGTGCAGCTTCAAAAAACACTGCAACACAAGAGTTAAAGTGTAAAGGAGGCGACTCTTCCCTCTGCTTCGCTTCCGTGGCTCTTTCTTTGTTGCGAATCTCTCCTTGTTTTTCTTTTTATTCCAATAAAGTATATGATGAAAGTGGTAGCTTTCAAAGCCTATAGCAGGGTCTTGGCTGGAATGAGAGCTGGCCCCTGAGCGGAGGGATTTCTTCACTCTCTAGGCAAGGAGGGGGCCTCATCCTCAGGGTCCCGAGAGGGGCCACCAAGCTAGTTTGGTTTTCCTTCCCTTCACCTTCCCAGCTCAGGCTGGAAGGGTGAATCTTGGGTGATACTGACCTGGAGGGTGAAAGGACCAGGCCAGACAGGTGGGAGGAGCGAATGTTCACAGGACTCTGGTTTCTATTGCATCTAATTTTTCAGGGGCCTCTTGAGTGCAGATGTGGGGAGTCTTGCAAATGAGATGCCTCTTAGATTTACTCACTGGGAAATGGTAGCCTGGGGTGGGGCTTGCCGGGATGCTGTTCACCATCTCGGACCGGGGCTGCAGTAGTGACTTAGACGCACCCAGGGGGGCAGAGCGATCTGGGAAAGACCCCAAGGTTTGTGAGTCACTGGGTTCATCTCACTTAGGTTCCCATTTTCCTCCCGCCCCCACCTAGCCTCTATTTCTTTCTCCTTCCACTCCCAGCTCAACTGGTTTCCTGACAGCCCCGTCTCCATGGCAACTGGAGGCGGCCAGCCTCCCTGCCCCCATCTGCCCCAGCCTGGGGAGTCGTGGGGGTGGGATGCCAGCGGGCTCTTCTGGCACCCCTACCCTCGCTCTGAGACGTGCTGGGATAGCAGAGAGGGGACGCCAGGCCCCAGGGACCAGGTTGGGCCTCCTTCTTTCCCACTGTTGCCTTGGTTACACTGCCCCTCCAGACTCCTCTCTCCTTCCCACCTCCTTTCTTTCCTATCTCTCTCTCTCTCTCTCTCTCCCTCTCTGCCAGCTGAGGCCTCCCCTGGCTGCCCAGCACAGATGGAGAAAAAGCCAGGCCTGCACCCTCCACCCTTGCCCGACCACCCGACCTTTCTGCCTCCACTTCCCAGCCCTCACCCAGGTACAAAGAGTCCTCCTCTGTGCCAGGAAGCAGGGCAGGGGCTCGATTGAGGGGCAGAGTCTCACAGGGGGGCAACTCGTATTTATCTTCTTCTTCCTCCTCCTCCTCCTGGACCTCTGGGAAGGGGTGCTGAGCACAGGGAGGATGGAAGAGGTGCAGGACGGGTGGTGGCATCTGCCTCCCCCTGTCCCCACCCCAGGCTCAGCTCCTGGACTTACCCTGTGTCTCCAGGTCCCTGGAGCAGGCAGAGGAGATGGCTGGGGGGCATCTGTTCTCCAAACGGGGGAGTCTGGACGGGAGACTGATGAGACTGGCCTCGTCTCTTCCCAGCCCACCCCCTCTCTAGCACAATGAGTTACTCATTGAGTTCAGCTCAAAAGAACCATTCACGATGGGCCTTTCCGACACTGCGGCAGGGCCAATGACATAGGCATTTTGAAAACAAGGGTGCCTCCCAGCTAGCTGCCTGTTGCACCTATGCCAGTCCCCCACCCTCGTGTACCCCTAATTCTGAACAAGACAGGTGGAAGAGCTAAGCCCCAGTGACTTAGCAGTGCTGGGCTATGATGGGCAGGAGGTTCTAGAGCCACTGATGGGAGACTCAACTTTCAGGGGCCCCTCTTGCCTACTGTATCACTTACCTGCGCATCTGAGGGGTGGAAGGGGTGGACCCAACCTGTAATCAGACTCTAGTCAAGTCTGCTCAGGGGGCCCTTGAGTTTGTGTCAGCCAGACACTGCACAACTCCAGGACGTTCACATCCATGACAATGTGAAGGGAGCCCCCTGGAGTCGTGTCAGCACCCTGGGTCAGGGCAGCAAGAGGAAGACTCTGGGGGCAGAGCTAGTGCCCATGGGTCACAGCTAGATGAGTTGGTGCCCCAGGGAAGCAGTAGTGGGGGAGCCCTAGTGCTCACAGAGGGCGGAGGTACACGCATGGTCTTACTAGGTGTGCGGACGGGACCCAGGCACAGTCAGCACAGCTCCAAGGATGGCTGCGCCCAGGAGTGGGGTGGCACAGGTGGAGACAAGAGAGGAAGGCAGAAGGAAAGAGAGAAGCTGAGTACTCACCTGGGTTTGCTCTCCTGGAGCTTGTCCTGGAAAGAGACAGGGAGGGGCATAAGGGGGTAGTCAGTGCAGCTGGATGCCTCTCCCTCTCTGTAATCCTGGGCCCCCAGGGGTAGGCAGGTCTGTGCACTTGGGGTGGCCCCAGAACCAAGTCTCACCATGGCCAAGGTGAAGGAGCTATCCCTCCCTGGAATCGAGCCTCTGCTACAAAGGGCCTGGGGACAGGGGCCCTATTGTTCCCATCATTTGCATCTCACAAGCACCTGAAAGGTGGGCCTACTGTGGCCTCCAACCCCAGACCAACTTCCCCCATGCCACTCCCAGGACCTAGCCCCAGCTTCCCTCACAATGCCTTCCATGGTTATGGTCTCCAGCCCCTCCAGCCCTCTGGAGGAAGAGCTCTCTCCCCTCCAAGCCCAGGCTTGCAAAGCTGGACAAAGTTTCATAGGCCTCCTTCAGCTCTCTGATCAATGTCCTCTCCTGCCAGAGGCTAAAACTTGCCTCCGGATCAACCAGACCAAGCTCTTTCTCAATTCATAAAAGACATGACTTTAATGGGTAGATCTAATTAAAAATAGGAAACTGTCCTTGCAGACACTTTTCTTAAACCCTTTATCCCTGCTGTCATTTGCTGGTGACTGGTGGTCAATGACTAAGGAAATGGAGGTTAGTGAAAAGCTCAGAGATAGGCACTTGTATTTAGTTTGACAGCTTCCTTTTTTGATGGATGTATTTGTTAATTCAGTAGGTATTTACTGAACTTCTACAATAAACCAGGCACTGTTCCAGGTGCTAAAGATGCTGTAGGAAAACTAAACAGGCAGACATTACATATGTACTTCTTCAATAGATTCTCACAATAGCTGCATAATGCAAAGGACT